TCTGTGAGAATCAGCTTCAAATTTACAGTTTGGCTTAAGCGGCATTTTCTTAAAAACGGCTCCAATTTTGTCAAAGAAAATTTGCCGTTTATGGCAACTGTTCTTTAACATTCTTAACATAATATTTCCTTTCTACTGCTAGAAAACCGAAAAATTAAGAAAATGTATAAAGAATGTATTTTGATATTTGACAAATGTACGTTGGCAAGAGCAATGGCAAGTTCATGTAGCTAGCTGAGACCAAAGGAAATAGAAAAACAATACGGTAAAAACCTGTGCCATTCTATTGCACCACTAGTTTGTTATTAATTTCTTGTGAAATCCATTGATGTTGTTTCCCTCATTAAATGCTACTTATTCCACTTACTGACGTTTTTTGCCTTTTTGAAAGGAACACTTTAGAGATTTTCAGAAGGCAAAAACACTCAACTAACTTTTTGCGCAAGTGCAACGAACGCATTAGAGCTAATTAGGGTAATTTGCTAATATGAATATAAAAGCATTGCTTCTTTCTTCGATTAATATTTCACTCATGTCTGTCCGTTTAGTAATTAGCAATGCGAAGCAAGAATGTATCCAACTTAAAACAAACCTAGATGTCTATTGCCATACAAGAATTACTTTGTTGATCTTTTTCCTCTCCGTTGTAATTACTTTGTTTTCCTTTTTAAAATAAAGGTAGGAATTTTTCTAAGAGACACAGTAGCTTGTGAGCATCAATATAATATTAAAATGTGCCGTTCTGGTAATTCTTAAAACTTCGAAATATAATATATTATTAAAGATTCAGTGCCGCAAAACAGCGAAAGAAACATAAACACAAGTGTGTGGAAGCAATTTCAAGAATTTTGTGAAGAAAGAACATAGAAATGGGCAGCAAAAACTATGAACGAAGAAATTACACCTATTGTGGGCAATTAATATGCGAACATTCTATGGTGAAGAATACAAAGAATATGCTATCAAAGCTATTTGGAACGATACCATCAAAATTATTCAGGGCAAATTTATTAATGCATACACACGTGTGTTTAATACACACGAAATTGACAAATCCCGCTTGATATCCAGCTTGTACATAAGATAGTACATACAATAATCACACTAAATGTCACTCTAAGTGCTGTGATATTACTTATGATTATATTTTTCAAATGATTTTATTAGAGGTATGCATGCTAATTATTTAATACTGCTCTTCGCAATCTACAATACTTTGTTGGTATTGTGGTGATTTATCGTTGTCATTTACAATTAAATATAGGAGTTTTCATAACCAATAATACTGTTTATTACAATAGCAGCTTTCGATAGCATCAGTATTCTGCTGTATGGAAGCTACAAAACGACTCGTCGTTTAATTAGTCGACTAATTATTTACTGTACTTTGTACTGAACTACGCATTGCATAGCAGTTAACCCGGAAAATTCCAATGGGTTGAAAAATACAAACAATTTTCTTAAAAATAATTTCAGAAATTTATACTCTATCGTTAACGATATCGTGGAGAATTTCAATAATCCCATTCTTCGGCTAAGAGTTTCTGTGCGACTTAGTATGCAATCTTAATTGAGAAATGCTGACCTACTTCGTAATGAATAAAAGTGCAAATTAAACAAAAGCGATTTTTTTAAAAATTCTGGTCTTTCTCTCAAAGGTATTCTTTGTTTGGCGTGAATTGAATGCTACTACATCATCAAAGTTATACGTATTTTGGGATAACGGTGTCAGTTCCTTTGACACAAAAACTTTTGTTCACCAAAAAGGTGTCGGTTCTCAACAATGTGAACAGATGAATGTCTGTCAATCATAATTTCCACGATAGATTTTAACATTCGTTTTACACAAAACTCACGTACACTATTACTACAATTCAAAAGTAATACTGTTACAACTTAAATAGTGCTGTATTGGGGGAGAGTACTAGTAAAATTATTAATGTAGAGAGTACTAAACAATTATTAATGAAGTAATCTACATTTTCGTATTTATTTGTATTTCATTCATTCAACTAATCAATGAATTGATTACATTAATTCGTATTGCACATGCTAGAAATCAATTTTATAGCGCGCGCAATTTCACAACCAACGCATTTTGACACCAAGTGATCCGCTACCTGACGGATCCAACGTGCTGCGATCGCCATGGCCTTCTACCCTCGCTCTCGCGACCTCGTTGTCGCTCCAGCACTCACGCTGTTTTATAAACCTGCCTCACTTTTAAGAGAATTTCTTGTAAAGAGAAATGGGTATTGTTCTGACCTCCACTTCTACTAGCCCATGTACTTACGCGAATATACAAAACAGAAATAAAAACCTAAACTTACCTAATCATTCGGGCGGTAAACTTTTACGATGCCTCGTATAAATTCTTTCATCATATCAACATCAAGGACTTTCCTTACCACGTGTACTAATATAATGATGAATCGAAGCTGTTTTAACCTTTTCGCGTCGGGATGTTTAAAGACACTACTGAATCGTTTTCAAAATTCCCTCGCGGAACAAATTACGAAAAAAATTAACAACTATTGAAATTCTCCGTCACACTAAACCCAACAATTCTTTAGAGAAATACAATAAATTCTAATTAGTAAAGCTTCATTCGGCCAAAAATTTACTCAATGTTTGGTTCATTTTATTGACTTATTTGCTGAACAGGCACAGTCAACTTCTAATCAACCTATTTATATACTATTTTCTCATTTATTTAATCTTCATTTCCAAACCTAAATATTTGTGAGAAAATAGTGTTTACGTACTCTTTTGGTCCCTTTTATTGTTGTGACAGAAACTAAAATGTTCCGTTTTTATGATTTCAAAATATGGTCACTTTATTCATTCCTTTCAATATTTCCTTTCGAATTTCAGTGACATGTGGGTCCCGCAGAGTTTATTCTCGTACGTTACAACTATCCAAAGCGAATATTGCAGGAAACGCTTTATCAAATGATCTGGTGGCTCAGTGGAAGTCGCTTGCTTTTCACCAAAGGTTCCGGTTTCAATCCCCGTAGAACCTCATGTGAAATTTGTTTCAACAAAACGAGTTTGCATGTTTCTCAGGACTAGTCCAACCCCAGTGAAGTGTCCTAAACCCTACCCCAATCCTAATTCCTTTCCAATTCTGGCCTCTGGATAATGACGCAGGGGCTCGTAGTAGGAGGCGCGTACGCAGAGATGCTTCTTGGCTGTCCTCTTAACAAGTGACTGCGACGAGACGTGATGGATATGACATACTGTTGTTAATGGAGGATTATTCCGAAAGCGCTCATCGCCGCCGGGGCTAGGAGACGCGTTCCGACAATAATTGCGTCAACAATTGACGCAAAACGTCAATTATTGAAGACGCAACGAACTAGAAAACATTGTCAAATATTTATTTTACTCTATCTCTGTACACAGTACTTCGTGTAAAACTAATAATATTTAATGCTTCACATTTTAACCTTGTGAATGAATGGATGGATTAATGAATGAATGAATGAATGAATTATACAACTTTGTAGAAATACAACAGTTGAATAAGACAAATACACAATATACATAATACACACAAGATACACAATACATAACATGTACTATATACTAAGCATTTTCCTCGAATTATCGATTACACTGATCCTTTCACCTGAGTCCTCTAATAACCATCTCACCTTATCCTGAATATTCCATCTTGTTCACTTTCTCCCATTCTAAAAAAAAGACATATCTCTAAAACATATTTCCAATCTTCTTCTTCCATTTCACAGTTCCTACATTTTTCCCCTCACTATTGAGCCAATATTTGCTCGCTCTCATTTCATTACCTAACGTATATATTGCAATCCTACGTTTGTAATTTTTCTTATATTTTCCTTTCAAATAACTGAGAATATCATCCATCTGAATAATTTTATACCATTTATTAAATTTTGAAATCTTTCTTTTTTCATAATCTTCCTGCAATAACTGATCTTTATCTTTTTGGATCAATCATATCAATCTTGTGTGTTTTTGTTGCAGCCCAAGGCAAGCACAGCAGATCAAATGACATCTCGGTGAGCTCCTGCTCGCCAACTAGTAAGCTGTGTCGCCTGAAGAAGCGATCGGACGTCAATATCGAAATCAAGTTCTCTCCTGGTAAGTAATGTTTTCTTAAGGCAAGGACTATTTCAGTTATTCGCTTATCCATCATAGACTGTGCAGGCGTGGCTTGGGTGTTCAAATTTTGTTTTGTTTTCGATAGTTTTCTCAAAGATCTAAAAAATCGAACTAACATGAATCGTGGTAATCATTGTGTTATTAAATAATTGTGTAATTTGTGTAATTAAAGAACTTTGGAGATGATTTACTTTTTTATCTATGACTTAGTATGTGTTACGTAAAAGACAAATTCCTTGTGAAAAGAGTGTTGTAAGATAAAAAGTTTTCATTCATTTTTTTCTTTTTCCTTAGCCTTGGCACTTGTTATAATGAAAGAGGTTTTATAAGGGATGGACTTTGCACTTCAACAAAAGCACAGGAGTGGTCTCGCCCCCCACAAATTGCTCAAAGGAAAAAACGCAAAAAAGGGATCGAAAGTGTGTTGAACCACATTCATGAATATTTTAAATTGATATTAATTTGTCTTACGTAAAATGGGCGTTAAAAATATCGTACAAACTAAAACTAAATTAGTGCCGAAACTAATTTCAATTCATAATTTGCAGATATAACATCTTGAAACAGTATGTAAAAGCTATGTTCAAATGATAATTAGTACGATTACCAAAACGTATTACACAAAAAAATACAATTGAACAAAAGCAACAGATTAATAAACTCTAACACTTTGCATCATGGAAAAATCCTATTCATCTAAATTTAAATTCATTTAAAATGGTGATTATTTACGTGTAAAAAAAAAGGTTTTCTTATCTCATTATTAGCATCGAGTCATGAGTTTTGGAAAGTTTATGGTCACACTCTTAGCCAACGGATAAGGAAAATTCTTAGAATATTCCACTTTCTGTTCTCAGAGGAAGACATTGAAAAACTGACCAACAGCGTGCACGCAAACCTGCTGGGAGTGCCGTTCCCTTTCATTGGTGTGGACGGCACTTCCGCTTGCGACAGCGTCTTCAACGCCGACGGCAGCAAGGCGGGCTGCCCGCTCAAAAAGGGCCAACAGTACATCTACAAGCACACAATCAAGGTTCATGACATCTACCCCAAGGTTGGTTTGGTTCCTCAATTACTATTATTTTTACCTATGTTAGGGTCGCTTTTAGATTATTAAGGTCATATTGCGACCACTGTAAGTAAAATTGTGGTGACAGTAATAGTAAATGGACAAACACAAACATCCACGCCCCGGGCGGGAATCGAACCCGGGACCCTTCAGGCACGTGGCAGCTATGACTTTTCAGCCTTAGTGGCTTCGGTTATTCAGGCTAGTAATTACTATTATGATGGTGTTTATAATATGCAAAGAGCTAAGAGCCTGACATTAGGTACCAATTGTGAGGCCTCTTCAGACAACTTAAAGATGTTTGAGGGCTCATTTGAAAGTTTTGGCAGCAAGCTGCCAGGGAGCTCCCTTAACGTTTAAAAACGATTGTGAAGCCCAAGTAGAGAGATGGTTGGGGGCTCATTTGAATGCTTGGAAAGCGGATATATTTCTCGAGGAAATGTCCACCTTGGGCTTTTTATCAAGTATAAAATACAGTAGTATTTACATGTATATTAATGAATTATTCTAAAAACTATGAGCTTCAAAAGAAGTTGTAGAAGTTCCCCTTATTTCAAGAAAAATATAGTATTTCATTTGAATTTCACTAATGTACAAACCTATTCCTGGTAGAGAGTGAAGTCATTTAACATAACAATTAGAGAAATATTTGCAGCATGTTTAAAATGATTTCTTTAAGTGGAAGAAGCTTCTTGAATGAATAATATCCATGCATGTGCAATACATTTCGCCTTAATAAACAAATCGTTAAAAAACTGTAGATTCACTTTTCAACATTACTTCCATCTATTCGAATCAGTTAAAACAGGATCCAGTTAAAATTATTACGAAATGAATTTTACAATATTTTTCTCCAATATTGTGAAGTAATGTTAAATGATGCGTTGAATTACGATGTGCAGTCAGTACACTTCAAATTGAGAACTGCTCGTTTCAAACACATAACAGACGCTGGAATAACAAGCTGGAGGAGTGCTACTTTGTATTTATTATTTATTATTATCAAAACTTGTAATATGACATCAAAACTAAAATTCTAATCCAGTTGTATTATTAATTATTATTGCGTTTAGAATTTACAAGTCATCGTTGGATGTTTTATTGACGAATGTAGTAGTAGTTTGCGAGACATACCCAAGGGGCTCTCTCGCATTCCAGCCTCCATTCTTCTCTATCGATATAGTCTTCATTGTTTAGTATTTTTACTTGAAAGGTGTTAATTACTTTTGAACTTACTTCCGATTTATGTTTAATTTCTTCGTTCCTAACTTTATCCAATAATGTCACGCCGCTACTTCGGTGTCCTAAGTTCATTTTCATTGCTGCCGAATTTTTCGCTTTTCTTGTTACTTCCCATACTTCACGCCAATAAAGAACAATATTCTCTACAACCGGCTTATACAATTTTTTCATCACACTCTTACTTAATTTATCTTTCCATATCAGTGGATGGCTTAACTAATGAACGCAAAGGGTAAGTCAGTATTGCTATAATGTCTCCTGTCAATGTTCCCGTTAACCTTAGAAATACGAAGGGTGGGGTGGAGAGTAAGGGCTCAAGAAAAGCCATCTAAATCTAGCAGCACTCAAAAACTTATCTCAACCAAACCATATCCAAAATTAAAGCCCAAATGCTCTTTTCCCGAATTTTAGGCTCTTTTGGGTTTCCCAAAATCGTGGGCGCTGCTAGCTTTAATCGAATGTTGGTTTCGTCTAAGTTGTGTTTATTCGCCCGTGAGAACGTATGTTAACTGTTGCTCTTTGTTACCCTAAACTCTACCCTAAAATTAGCCTTTAATTTTGGATGCTTTTTCGTTGTCTTGCAATGATGTGAAATTCTACTTTCTGGGTCTGCCTGCTTGCTGTAGACAAAAGCTAACAGCGCCCACGATTTTGTGAAATCTAAAATAACCTAAAAATCGGGAAGAGGATTTCATTAGGATGAAATTAGTCTTTAATTTTGGAAATGGTTTGGTTGACATTGGTTTTGGGCGCTGCTAGCTTTAGACGTCTCTCAAGGAGACCATCACCTAGATATTGCTTTCAGTTAATTTCATTCATGTGCTACTGAGAAGTTTTGTAATTATTGAGGTTGTTTTCACTTCTTCACAACTTGGCAGACTATTCTTTTATCTGAGTTTTTCTAGAGCGGATTTGATACCCTCCTTCTTTGGGGAACTCTTTTTCCATTGTGCTTTTTATTATTTTTCTCCCTTCGTCTATATAGGATTTTTTGCATTGGCAAAGTGGTCAACAATCATACTTTTCGTAAACGCCCCCAAAAATAAAATTAATGGTAACAATACGACTAATTTTCATTTGACTGAATGGGAAATAGAAGGACGTTTGTGAAAGAGAGTATAATGTATCAGACAGTTTAAAATTGTTTTCCTTGAAGAAATGTTATATTTCTGTGTTAAGTAAATATATTATCACTTGCTAAGAACGTACACATTTTTTTCTTTAGTACGGAAAACACGAGAGGACTCGACGAGTTCCCCGTCTAGGAATAGACGTTACCACTAACAGTGTCTTGGTGCTACAGTCAGAAATTTCCGCAATACTTAAATGAAATTTACATTAAAGTTGGTTATCACGTTACCACGAATGCACTTTAAATTAAATGTAACAGAAATATAGTATTTCTCAAAAAAAATGTTGTTTTTTTTCATTTATCGTAACTCCCCAGTTCACTCGTCATGGATTTGTGTCTCCTGAGGGCTAGTTGACTCAATACCAATCAAATGTTCAATGTACATTTATATGAACATTCAATTGTAACATTTAATTGTATTATGTGAACATTTATATTTAACGACATTTCTGACAGTGTCGGGTTAATTCCCTGTGGCGTGTGTTCCAGGTGCGATTGGACGTGCACTGGGCGCTGGCGTACGGCAACGGCAAGCAAGCTGTGTGCTTCGAGGTGCCCGCTCGCATCGTGTCGTGATGGCCGCTCGCACCCCCCTCTGCTGCAGCAGCCCTCCTCGACTCGGCAACGGCGTCGGCCGCCGTCACCGCCACGCGCTCGCGAACCTCTGTGTAGGAACGGCAACCACTGGCCCCCTAGTGCTTCGGGAATCTCACCTCCAGGGCTGAGGGAACGTTGCCAACTTTCTGCGTGCTCTTGTAACAGAAATATAGTATTTCTTGCAAAAAATGTTTTTTTTTTCTTCATTTATCGTAACACCCCAGTTCACTCGTTGTCGACATGGATTCGTGTCTCTTGAGGGCTAGTAGACTCAATACCAATCAATGACATTGTTTGCTTTTTATGCCAATAGATTTTTCTTTATTTAAGGTTGCATCAACATCTAGGTCATTAGCGAACACTATTGCATTTAACTGTATGGTAAGTGTGAAGGTGATATATGATGATGATGATAGGGTCAGAAAGGATGATGATGATAGCGACACAAATACAACCATGTCCGTGGCAGAAATTGAACCTGCGATCCTTCGATCCGAGATCGCTACGGCACTACCGCCCTATTAATCTCGGCCATTCGGACCGGCGTCAATACATTTGTTAAGCCGATAGCCCATGGTGGTTATCATTTCGTTTTTCTAATACAACCCGCCATCAGTGCTTTGGTGAACTATTTTCCCCCCTGTTTTTCTTGGTTCATTTGCATTACCATCTTAATCTTAAATAAAAAACGATGAGGGTATGTCCTTAGCATGATAAACCACACATGTAATTGGGAGTTCTACACAAAATCAATTCTCTCGGATTTCGTTTGAAACAGATCTACTTCGAAAAGAAAAAAATATTATCTGCTTGTGTATTATAATTTCATTTTAACTTCATGACTTCAAGTTGGCTGCATAAGAGACCAAGTCGTACTAGAATACGTGAAATGGCTTGTACCTTCTGTAGAGAGCGCAGAGTACTGAACCGTAACCATATAGACGAACACAACTTATACGAATATCTATTCATGCATTAAAAACTCCAATCCTGCTCGTACCCATCGTTTTTCACTCATGAAGTTCATATTGAGGTCTGGGAATCCCAAACTTATCTTAGCAATAAAAGCATACATCCATTATTTAATGCACTTATTTTTTTCTTACTATTTATTCATTTGTTGAATATTTTTGCAATAATGTGCACTTCTATGCTTCATTATCTGCCAAAAGCGTTTTGAGAAAGAAGGGTAATTTCTGATAGTATTCATTTGAAAAACGAAAAAAAACTTTCCGTAATTAACTTTTAACTAGCGTACCCGTGCGAGAACTCTCACATGTTTATCCCCACCATTTCCCTATCCTGTCAATTAAGAAGTTACGTTGTTAATGAAACTTAGTTATTTGTTGAAACAATGTATACATGTAACTTCGTAATTGCAGAATATCAAACAAAAAAAACAATTAATGTTGGAAACAAAGTTTAAAAAAAGGTTAATTCAGTATTATAGAGATAGGTTCTTCGAACAATTCACACTTCCTTAAAAATTGTATTTGAAGGAATTACATTCACATCTTCCTTCACAGTTAGCTTTTCGCTTTCCGTGATTGTCACAAAAATATTAAAAAGCATTGTTTTCTCTTGAAAAAGCCAAGTAATGTGTTCCACGGGAAAATACAGAATCGGGCAAATACGAGTACAACCCCTATTCTTTGCAATATTATTTAACTTTCCTGGATTTGTCGAGAAGGTTTTGGAGAGCGTCATCTTGCTGGGGTACAAAAAATAAAAAATTATTAGTATACTAAAAAGTACTAGTTTATTTTTTGCTTTCTTACGTACCTCAAGAAAATAAATTGTTAGAAGAAAAATAATGAATACCTAATATTTTAACATGTAAGTAATAAATATCATTTGTTATCATTGGAATCAACTCTCTAGGACTTTATTTCGGTACATTGTAATGTTGCTCAAACAATGTTTACGTATCTTAGTGAACCGACAAAATAAGTTGAATATCAAACGGAATATTGGGCACTGATATAGAGACTTCCCGATATCGCCAACATTTAAATCGTGAATCTGGAGTGTGATCGTTCGCAGTTAAGTGCATAGCATTCATGTCATAATCTGAACTCAGTACGTGCGTGTAACGCCCCATTACCCAATGGTCACGCTAATGCAAATCTTGTTTGCTCTCGTAACAATCAAATTGCGAACAGTTGCAATCGACAGACATTGCTCGCCCAGCGACTGCCTCGACGAGCACAATGCTAAGTTATGAACTACGGAATAAAATCCTGATTATTCTCGCTGCGCCCCGTGGTCTACGCCTTTCCCCTCATGCGTTTCCGCGCGTGCGACCTCCAAGATCAACTCGAGGAGACTTGAATCAACGCGTCCGCCGATCACACGCCTCCGCCTCTGTAGGCGTAACTATCTTGTAGCGTGTGCGATGACACGCTAGCTCAAGTTCCAGCATTAATGTTATTGTCGTGTTTGTCTTTCAGCATACAACGTAACACGTCAGTCTCCATTTGTGTGTTCAATGTGTATCATGAATTCATCCCAGCTATGGCATGTCAATTTTACTCTGTTTCAATCATGTTCTCAGTGGGCTTCAGTATACATTGTGTCGTAACTGTTCGTACGATTCGCACAGTCTGCACGACACTTCACACGACAGGCCGTTATTATAGATGCAATTTTTTTCTTTCTCCTTTAAAGAGAAGGGAAAGAATGGGGACAGGGTTCTCGTCATGTCCTTCGTATGAACGAAGGTTAACATAATGTCAGAACAAAACATTTTATCAACCAATGAATATTTACATTCACAAGCACGTGAACCCATCAAAAATATACAGTTTCAAATGTTTTACCTTTCCAAAGATAATTGAAATTCCAACCATTCAATATGCAATACAGCAACAAAATCCTTTCAGCTGCACATCAAAAACATCTCTCAGAGTAATATTTATACAAAGGAGACATATCAAGATTACTAACAGATCATATAGTCATCATTAAAATGATAAGCGGTTGATACTACCAAAGTCATCCATTTACAAACAGTTCCCAAAGGTTTTACCGTTCCAAAGTGGATTGAAATTCCAATCAAAATGCAATGTCGCAACAAAAACCTTGCAGCTTCACGTCAAAGACATTTCAAAAATTACATTTATACACAGGAAAAATTATGCATTTACAAACAGTTCCAAATGTTTTTCAGTATGTATGTTCAACTCCAAACCACCCAATATGCAATATAGAAACAAAATGCTTTCAGTTATCCCTCAATGACAGAATTAATATTTATATAATGCAATGTAACAAAATACTAACAAATTCTTGTTCAAAAAAGAACCATAACGATAAAATTATTTAATACCAATTGATACCCATTTCACCCAAACACAAAACAGTGCATACAAATGCTTGGTAGCTCTGTTTATGTACATCATGGCAAACAATAATTTGATTATCTCTACTTTAAATACACACATTAATTAAATTTCCCCAGATTCCAAGCATTATTTTACAACAACAATTCAAAGGGAAGAGAACGAGAATAACCTCCATTTTCATGGTAAGCATAATCTTTCTTTAACGTACAATTTGAAATTAAAATTACCACAAACTTTAATCAGGAATGTTTTCCTGAAGTTGTTCTAATCACTCAGTAAATCAACTCTAATCAATACACAGTAAATCAACATATCTTTGTCTTGATCATGATATATTCATGGCGACAAGTTCCCACATCTAATATATCTCCACTAGTAAAGGTGATTATCTCAACGAATAACTTCACACACTCTTGCAAAATCGGCGCGCCCAACTGCAAAATTATGCACAGGTTAATTGGCGTCGCATATACCTTAATATTTTACTGTCCTCAGCATTCAGGCGTCTGGGAACAACGACATGTAGCCAATAGTTTGCTCCAGTCAGTCCACTTTCCCATCAGCCTTCTTCCTTCTCAACTGTCAGCACACCGTCCGACATCTATCACTCTCTAATCTTCATGGCCGAAAAATGTTACTACTCAAAAATCCCTCTCGGCACTTACATTCGACTCAAAATCCTCTGCCGGACCGGCACAGAAAATCCAGCATTACATTCTATAGCGTGAGCATATGCGATGCGCCATAACATCAAGTCATGGCACAATAAATTAAATCTTAATTTAATATCACCGTCGGTGTGCCAACTTGCGTAAGGCATTCGCCTAAGTAATCATGTCAACAGTTGTGTGTAAATCAGCTGATTCTAATTTAATCTCCTAGGGTCATTTGAACTTCAACTAATTAACATTCAATTATTCATTATAAGTTATGTAATCATTTATACAGTTTCAATTATTCTTTTTAAATGAATTCTACATTTCCTGAATCTTACTATGCTTCAGCTCCCTCCCATTAGAATATCATGCATTGTTATTTCAGATGCATCACAGCATGTGGCTTGCAAGCATGGTGGTCCTTGGAATGCTATAAACTATTGAGGTAAGTGGTGGAGTAGGCACAAAATCATGAACTCCCCAACAGTTCACTGCTCAGAAGCTGCATGCTCCTTCACTGCGGATCGTAAGTCCCATACTAATCTTGGCCACGCTCACACAATTTACTGGGGGAGCGAAAGAAATTAAAAAGATAATTTAGGTTCAAGGTTTTGAGTTCATTCACTTCGTTTGCTAGAAATGCACATCATGCCACCTCACACAACACAACATCCATGATTGACGCGGGTTTGGAAATCAAACCTCGAGGGTAAATGCCTCAAGACCCTGCGCCATACAGACCGGTTACGCACAAAAGAAAGGTGATAATGACAATGGCAGGAGTTGATGACAGTGCCACCATACCACGACATAAAAGCAAAAATTTATGTACGCAGCGGGAGACCTTTGAGGCGATCTCAGCTACTGAAGATGGTTGGTACAATTTCAATAAATGATTAGGTATTGGTAATTAATGTGGACTCATTAATCACTTTCACCAAATTTGGAAGAGAATCTCGTTAACTATTGGATATTATTCGCAACGGCTATATTAATTACCACACAATGAATGTTTCAAATGCATATCAATTGAAATCACGCAAATTACAATGCAATTTCTCATTCAAATTTCGTGTTTGGTTTACGCGTGAGTTCATTTCTATTTAATTTTTTTACTAATACTATAATGTTTTTATAAAACTTAAAAATTGATTTTGGTATGTTAAAAATAGATGAAATCCCACACCCT